CAGGCGACAGCTCGGTGGCAGGGCCGTTCCTGCACGGGCAGGACATTGAAGTGGCAGAAGACTTCCCAAAGAAGAGCCCTGAAGGACGGATGGTGCGGATCCGCATCGGGCAAAGGAACGCAATGGCGGAGTGAAGCCTGTGATTCCAGCATCAGGCAGCGGTGTCAGCGAGCCGAGCCTTGTGCAGCCGCAGCAACTCAGAGCGCTGCCAAACCTGTTCAGGAGGCTTCAGCAGGCTTTGCGAGGATTCACACACATCTTTGAACAACAATTCCTCTGTTGAGGGTGTTTAGACTCGTTCGACGGCTTTCAACTAGTTTGAACGACCTGAGATTTCTTGAGGTTTCCTTGGGACGTACACCGTTTGGGTGGGGCACGGGAACCAAGGGTTGCAATAAGGCTGCCGAGAGGCCTCGAGGAACTCTTCGAAGGCGTCGTGCTCTCCATGTACGCGCAGTCCAAGGGAGCCAGCGATGGATCCATGCGACAGCTCGCGATCGCCGGTGGGAAGCCTGTGCAATTCGTTGTCCCAGCTACCAGAGACGACCCTGGTCCGGCCATGTCCATGGTTAGCAAGGCGACACCCGGCCTGCTGACCCCAAAAGCGGAAGGTGAGAAGTCCAAATGACAGAAAACTTGCACCAACGCTGCGCTACCCAGGGAAGTAGATGCCAGAGCTAACAAAGAGAAATCCAGCCAGGTCTTGCTGAACAGCGTCGTTGCAGAGTCTATCATGCGTGCGGAACGTGGGGATGTCAGAAAGCCCAAATGCAAAGAATCAAAGGCAGGCAACAATGCATCGAAAGCGCCCCTGTCAGACAAGGAAGCAGATGGGTCACTCCGGGAAAATCCATGCAGTGGCACCAAGATCTCCAGCATGTGGCGATCCGGAACTGGTGCTACCGAATCGGCTCAGGAGAAACTCCTGGTGGACACCGTGACACCCGAAAGGGCGTTTTCCGGTAGGAATATTGTCAGATCCACTCTGAGGAAGTTAAATGCAGGCGAAAGTATGCCCAGGCGCTGAGGCGTTCTTGGCAACAATGAACTCCCTATGCCGCTACGTTCCAGTACTGGTGACACAAGGTCCGTCCGACTAATCTGCGCAAGGAGAGGCATCGAGCCTGGCCACTGCAAGCTTCTTGCGGGAGGTAGTGCACCCAGCTCCGTAGACTCCGGAGCAGAAAGCAAGAATCCTGATCTGGCAAAGCTACGGAGCGATGACGAAGCTCCGCAACTTACCCAGTCTGGTGTCAACAATGGGAAGTCCAGCTGTGCACTGGCGACGGGAAACGTTGCTTCCGAACAAGCTGAGCTCTGCAGGGATGTCGAAGGATCGGAGTGGGCATGATCGATTACCAATAAAAGGGGATCGGAGCAGGCTGTTCCGGGTGTTGCGGCTGGCGGACCGAGCTGGGCACACGACTGCGAAGGAGGCAAGAAGCCAGAGTTTCTGTGACAATCGACAAGCAGACGTGATCCCGAACGTGAGAGATGTCTCACAGGCAGCTCCCCTCCCGGAACCGCGTAATCAACAAGTGACATGGAGGCACCCGTCCGAACAATGCCAGAGACCAGCGTCAGGGCTTCTGAATAAGCAGAAGATCGCAAAGAAGCCAAGAATTCGGACCGGGGGAATTCTGTTGCAAGTGCCACCGCTCCCGAGCATGCCGAAGCTCGCACAGGTGCCGAACTCTCAAGCAGAAGGAAATCGGGGGTTGGCACGGCAGCACCTACACGATGCCAGTTCTGCAGTAACGTCGGTGTGCCGGCATCTGCTAGGTCACATGCAAGTAACGTGAGCCCCGGCTGAGAAAAGCCATAAGATGGCGGTGGCGCACCTGGGCATGCAGTGCCTCTGGGCGCCAGCAACAGTTCAGTCATGGCCGGATCTGGAACGGAAGCTGCAAAGTCAGCCCGAGAAGAACTTCGTGCCACCAGAACAGCTCCTGGAGAAGCAAAATCGAGAGCCGATGATGCAGAGCCAAATCTTCCGAATCCACAGAGAAGCGAATGAACTCCAAGTCGTGTGTAGGTCCTTGGAGGCATCAAGCTTTCCGGTGTTCCGAGATCGAAGATTGGTAAAGATGCCTCAGGCTGAGAGGATCCGAAAACGGGCGTGTACGGACCCGACCAGGACAGAGAACGCAAAGGAGGCAGCATCCCTGGATGAAGAGAGTCGAGGACAGAAGTCAAGGAATTCACGCAGGCAGAGCTCTTCAACAGAAACAATGGCTCCAAGTGAAGGGGGTCCAGGGCCGTCAGCAGACTCTCCATTCTTGCCCTTCCCGAAACTGAAGGAAACACATCCGGAAAAGCAAGCGAGTGCATCAGCGCGGACAGGTCCAAGCACGCGTAATCTGGAACTGAAAGAGGCAGATCTAAGCGCGCAGCACCTGGTGGCATCATCGCGAACTCCGATCGGAAACCGCTCTGTGCAGTCGGAATGGATCCAGGCCATGAGCTGTCAAGTGTAGCCATGCTGAGCTCTAGGCGTGCAAATCTCACCAGAAGAGAAGGCGAATCTGAGCAGCTGGGTCGTCGCGAAGAAAGAAAACTATCCGAGTGGCTAGGGTCCAAGATCGGCAGCAAGAGAGCCAACCACCCGGAGCTGTGCAAAGCCATCGAGAGCCCTGACGTCGTGAGGTCGGGTGCAAACAGCAACAAGCGCAAGCTGGCACAGGCCGTCGAAGGTGGAGCAAAATCTGTTCGAGGCGCTTGCAGCAACAGAAGGAAGCCCGAATGTTGGAAGCTAAGAGTCAGCAATGAGATTCCCGGACACGACGTAGACCGGAGCAGCAGAGATGCTTCCGGATGCAAAGGGTCCGAGGTCAAGAGTGCTGGGCCGATTGGTGAAGACGATCGCGGAGGCAACAAGAAGCCCGGTTGCGCCCAACTCACGACAGAAACCAAGAAGTCGAGCCAGCTCGAGGATCGCAAGGCAGCCAAGCTGTCCAAGTAGGATGCATCTGGTGCAAATGCAGCTGTGCCTGCATGGCAAAGAGACCGAGCTGGTAGGGTGGAGGCGACCTGCACGAAGTCCAAGACCAAGGGGGCGGAGTCCGAGCGAACAGGTGCTTGCACGAGAAAAGGTGCTCCAAGAACCACCAGGTCACTCACTGACAGACAACCCCCCAAGCAACTCAGGCTGCGAAGCAACGCTGGCAAGTCCATGCAGGCAGGGTCCAGCGCCGACGAAAGGCTGCCTATCCTCGCTCTTGAGAACGAAGACATGAATGTGCCCATCCTGGCCAATGTCTGCGAAGATACGGAGAGGCCCAGGTGCAAGAAGTCCACGGCCAGCATGCTTGAACCCGATCTGCTATGTCCAGACGACGCCACCGCAAATCCTGCACAGGCAGAGTTTCGCGAAATCAGCGAAGAGCCGAGGTGTCCAGGAGCCGATGCGGACAGGAATGTTTCGACTTGAGCAGCACTTCGCGCAGAAAGGATGGATTCCAAGTGGACTGCTTCTAGCAGAAGCAGTGGCGGCTCGATTCGCATCACTCCGAGGGCAGGCAGAAAAACCTCCGGGCGGCTGAGAGCTCTGGGTGGCATGGGCATGTCCAGATGCAGAAAGTCCAGGAGAAGAGTTTGCAGGCCAAGTCTGGAGCGGGAGCGCATGAAAGGCGAGGACTCTGGCATCGCCGAATCAAGAGTCAACGAGACAGGCTCTGACTTTGCAAGCCCCTTTGCCGACAGCAAGAAGCCTACAGAGCAAGACTCCACTGCAAGCAGAAGTGGACTTGTACGGGCAAGACTTCTCAACATCGAGAAAAAATCCAGGTAGGAACTGCCCAGGGCAAGCACGAACACCTCGAGCTGTGCAGAGCTCCTTGCAAGCAGCACGAGCTCTGAGTTCAGAAAATCCGGCACGAGTGGCGATGACTCAGGACGAAGGAAAGACCGGAGGGCTAAGGATGAGCTGAACCGCGACGCGTCTGATGCAACTGCTGGAGGACCAAGACGGAAAGAGCTTTGAAGCGGTGCCGGGGTGCCAAGGCTTGCAAGATCGAGAGCAGGGAGCGCAGGAGCAACTTTCGACAAAGCACATAACAAAAAAGGTGTTGCAAGGCACGTCAAGCCCCGTGGTGGTGAGGAAGCTTCCGGGTTGCTGACATCCAGAGTTGGGGAGGGCGGACCTAAATGGCACGCTCTGACCGGGAATGCTGAGCTGCCAAGCCTGCCGGATGCCCGCACAAAAGGTGTCAGTGCCATCCTTGCTGAATCCAACACTGTGAAAGACAGCTCCAATTTTGCAAGGGAGCGCAGAGGAAATGAAGCGCCAAGCACGGCCCAATCCAGCACGAAGGGACTCACACCCAATCGACACGCAGAAACCACAGGAACGCAGAGACCAAGGTGCGAAGGGGACCGCAACAGCAAAGGCATCCCTGAATGCAGAAAGTCCAACACGAACATTGCAGAACCACGAAAACAGCCGATCAACAGCGTCGGAGCATCCGGCTGCATGAGGGACTGGACCTTGCTTGACACGAGACTTGACTGGTGCTGCAGAACCCGAAACAGGACAGTTCTGCTGCACTTGCCTAGGTCTGCCATGATAACGTCGCAGTGCGTCACTAGCAGCTTTACGGTACTGTCCATGATCCGATTTGCAACCCTCGCGATGAAGGCTTCCGCTAGACTGAGCTCCATGCCAAGAACGGCGAACCAAGCAGTGCAAAATCCAACCTGCCCAGCAACTCTGATGGCGACGGCCTTCAACGGCTGTGCTTGCAATGCACTTCGCCGAGCCCCGTGCGCAGGCAGAGAAAAGCCGCAACGTGCGATGTCCGGAATCGGTGCCAGGGTGCCAAAGCATCCGAAAGACCGCCTCAGGCTCAGCGAATCAGTGGCTGTGCAAACCTAACCTGCCGCTACTTGGCTGCAGAGTTGAAACGTGTCAGCGGCACGGTGGCGAGGGAGCCTCCGACCCAACAGGGTCCACAGCAAGCAGCGGCAGTCCAGTTCTCGTGACCTGAGTGTATCTAGTCTTCTCACTTCGAGGCTGCACCATGCGAATTTCTGGTGCGTTCTGGGTTCCGGGCACTGAAGACACTGAAGGCGGGACCGAGACAGGCCAGGCGACGAAGCGGCAATGGTGCATCTAAGAAGCTGCAATCCACTGCCAACGTCGCCAGCTCGAGACGCGCAAGCCCCCTCACCAGCAAGAAAGATGCAAGAGTGGCAGAGTCTGCAGCTGACATGAAGAGACCGATGCACGCAGGACTGCGGAGCAGCAACGAGCTGTCAGTCCGAGCAGACTTTAGCACTGGTACAATGGAGTCAAGCTGCGCAAGCGATCGCAGAAACAAGGGACTCTCCAAATGCAGGGGATCCGACACCGACGACGCGGAGCCCAGGGCGACGAGTGCATGCACGGCCGTTGTGGCATCCAGTTGCGCAGGCGAGCGCATGGATGGCAAGGGACCAAGCTGCGCAAAGTCTAAAACAAACAGAGCCAAGCCACAGCGCGCAAGGGACTTCAAGGATAGAAGAGGACCCAGATTCAGGGAATCTGACACTGGAGTGACCGCACCCAACGCCACCATGCTTTGGACCAACAACGGTGTGTCCAGAATGCCAAAGTCCAGTGCTGGTAACATGGAACCGGCTGACCCACACTGCAACGGAAGAAACAACAATCCAGGCCGCAGCAAAGACCTCATGGCCAAGAGCACATCCAGCTTGGAAAGGTCCAGCACAAGCGGAAGCAGCCCAAGTCTGGACAGACCGGCAGCGGATGCTGGCGATCCCACGTAGCCGAAGGAATGCAAAGGTGAGGAGGAACCGAACCTGAACATCTCAGGATGCGAGGCACATCCGAAGGTCAGCTACTTGTACCTTGGCACGCTTGGCTCCTGGCGTTCCAAAGTGGAGGATGGAAATAGGCAGCTCCAGACGGAGGCTGCTTCGAATTGCCAAGCTCGCTCCTGAGGATGCCATGTCCAACACCTGGGCATGGGCGAAACGAGAAGACCCCTTCCAGGTTGCACAGTATGCACAGTCAGTGCAGCAGTTTTGTGTCAGACAGGCTGCCGGAAGCGAGGGTGCCAGCCTACGCCGCTGCAGGGACTGTTAAGCATGCGAAGCTGAAGAACGCAGCACAGCAATGCCAGGCACATGCCGGGCAGACCGAGCAGCCATCGGAACGAGCGTCGAGAAGCCGAACCGGGCAAAGAAACGCGACAACGCCGGCGACCCGATGCTCGAAAGTTGGAGGATCAGCAGCCTGAACTTGAGACGCTCCGAGCTGGCAGAGTGTATCTGATAGAGGCTGAGCCGGGGACGTGCTGTCGAAACAGGCGTAGCTCTTTAGAGGTGGTGGGCCTGCAGCACCAGATTCCAACTTCTCGCCGCGGCAATTAGGGCTCGGAATCTCAGCTAACCGCTGTCCAAAATGGCAAAGTCCATGATCGGCATGAGAGCATCCATGCGCGCGCAGCTGGGCACAGGCGTTGGTATCTGGCCGGGCATGGCGATGAAAAAAAAACTCAAGCTTGAACTGAAGCACTATGTTCTCCAGCCTCCGAGCTCGAAGAGGACTGTGAAAGCAGGGCAGCATCCGTCATCGAGACATCCAGAGCTGGTGTCGAAGAGCCGGCACGGCACCGACCCCCTTGGGCACGGGCGGGTCAGGCTGCAAATGCATCTGAGATCACTGATGTACAGGTGCAGTACTGCTCAGCCACTGGCTTACTGAGGGACTCAAACCCAGTGTTGCAGGGTCAAGCGCCGGCAAGGATGATCCAGGCCGGCCAATGCCAGCCGGAATCAGGGCGGAACCCAGGTGACCTCGAGAGCTTGATCTCTCTCCTTCCCAAAACTATCGGAAGCTCTCAGCGCGCGGCCATGCGTCTGCAATGGCAGCGGGCTCTCTAGCCGACTGCTTCCGAGGACTAAGGCAGGCATGCCAGGCCGACAGATGCTACACCTGCACAGACAAGATCTGCAAATACCGATTTCACGGTTTCACGCTGCAGGACACGTTGAGGACAAGGCGGCGATGGCACGGGCTCCAGATGCACCATTGCTCGCGGAGATGGTGGCGAGCCCAACCTAAACGGCATGGCATCGGCTCCGTTCCGAGCTCCGAGAGATTCCGAGAGTCGCGCTGGCAAGACATTACCGCAGGCATTGGGGCTCCAAGTCTGGCAAAGCTGCGCAAGGCAGCCAAGGCTCCTCGGGGTGGGAGGGTCTTTTGACACACTCTGCGGGAGAACTCTTCGCAGGTATTGAAGGCTCCTGGATGCAGGAAGTCCGGGACGAAAGGGGATGTTCCAGAGCAGCTCAGCCCAGAAGCCGGCGGAAGGGTTGCAGCTTGTCCACGGGATTGAAGCAGCAAGAAGAAGCCTCGAGACTCGCATTGAGGGCCCTTCCGACAGCAGTATGTTCAGTCTGAGTCCCTGACCCGGACTGACAAAATCAAAAATTGCGCAGGAAAAACCCAATTGGCAGAGGCCGGATAGGAAAGGAAGAAAGCCTGACCTGCAAAGTGCAACGGGCTCCCCGCGTGTAACCATTCCAGGGTAGTTTTAAGGCGCAGGCTGAGCCATGGAATGTAGCGGCACTAGAGCACCCGAGTTGCCGGAATCCAGAACGAGCGAGCTAATGCCTTCATTGACAGACCTCCAGACAATCGCTGAAGGAACTCGCACAAAGCCATGCCAGGAACTCAGGCGCGGACTGAAAAACCAGCGCACTGAAGCCCAAGCAGGCGGAGCCATGTGATGCCGACCTTTGCCAGCACGACTCTATGTAAGTACGTGAGGTGTCGTCTCAAACAGGGTTTCCAGCGTGCTTCCCAGATACACAGAGTCGAATGCCTGAGCGTGCACAAACTCCCGTAGTCAACGAGATTTTCCAAGGAACAGGAGACAGCACGTAAGAGGACGGTGCGAAGTAAGAGGAGGAGGAGGAGTAGGAGGAGGAGGAGGAGGAGGAGGGGAATTCGCTTCTGGCATTCCCGATGCTGAAGGATGTTGGGGCAGAGGCAAGACTGTTCTCCAGCTTTGAGTTCTGATGCTGTATCACGCATTTCCGCCCCATGCCGCGGAGAAAACGCCTCAACATGTTAGAACCATCCGGCAACCACAAGCAGATCGGCGTTTTCAGAAGGGGGGACTCTCGGAGTCGAATTCTCATGGCCATCTGAAAGCTCTCGAAGATTCTGGCATCGAATTTTACGTGACCGGGGTGGCCTGGCCCTTCATGCCATGAAGAAAAGAAGCTGGAGGCAGGGCCGTTGCAGGACATGCTAGGAGACTCTATAGGTTTATGCAGAAAAGAAAGGACTCATGAGAGCGGATGTTGCACACCACTGCAGACTCCTAGCCTCACTTGAGCAAAAATCTTTGACAGCAGTACGACAGTACGAGACACAAGTACAGGTCGTCGTCGAAAAGTGTGAGGCGGCAAGTCAGAAGTAGTCGCAGGTGGAGAGAGGGCTGCGGCAGTCGCAGGAACGGGAGGAGGAGCCCTGCTTGCCAAGGCACCAGAGGCAGCGAGTCCAGCCAGTTGTGGCTCCGAAGAAACGGAAACGTTCCAGCCGAAGTCCTTCGTGGGAGAACAGCCCAGCTAAGTTCACAAAGCACAGCCGTGTCTTGGGCTCAAGCATCTTCGAAACCACCATCACCGATCCCAGCCTGAGCTTATAAGTTTGCCGTCAGAGGCCCTCAGAGAGCCTTTGAGCCACTCTCCGGCCTTGCCAAGCCCCTAAGTGGCAGCAGGGAGCCCAGGCCCACAAAGTCCGACCTCGGCGGCCCGGAAATCTGAGTTCCAAAGACTCGGTGGCTGTCAGTGCTGTCTGAGGTACACCAAAGCTGGTGAAGCCGACCATGCGCAACCAAATGCTGAAGCAGAGAATCCAAGCCTGTCGTCATTCTCCAGCACATGCAGCACACGCAGCACTGAACGCAGCGGCAGCAGTTGCGGTGCTGACACATGACCTCGACGCCCCTCTGGGTGGCAGCGCGGACCTCGAAACGCAACGCGGTGTCGAGACACAGAGTCGAAGCGCAAGCGCAAAAAGACAGACACACACAAAAAGCGCCTCTCTCTCAGAGTCTCCCTCCCTCCCTCTCTCTCTCTCTCTCTCTCTCTCCCTTCGGCGAAGGTCCGTAAGACCCCGGGCCCTGGAGAAGAGCTTTTCGGCACGAGAGCCAAGGGCTCCGTACGCGCAAAACGCCGCAGCGGCAGCGCCTCTCCCAACAAACTTAAATTAAACACGGAGGGGGGAAGTAAAGAATCAGACTCATAAAAAAAAAGGTCACGGGCACGGCGTGTTTCCTCAAACTGTTTTGGAGAGCGGCGCTAGGGCCGGCACTGGTCCACACCCAGCGGAGTCCGACGCCAGCGACAAGGCCTCTGGTGCTTGCTGGTGTTTTTTTTCTTCTTTCATCCCTACGTGCGAAGGGTGCAGGCAGAGGTATCTGAGACGGCAGCATCAGGCTTTGCTTGGCTGAAGATCGAAGGGAATGCACCAGTAGCAGCAGGACCTGGGCAGTCTGGGGCTTCCAGCGCATGCGGGCCCGACGATCCCTGACTCCGAGGGTACAACTCCTCGAAGGTGGAGAACTGCCGATGACGGAGGACCGCGAAGCTGACGAAGACATGCCGGGGCGTGCGAAGCCTCTCAACTGTCCGGGTTCCACACAAGTCGTTTCCAACTTCCAAGTCACCACGAGGGCCGGACCACACGCTACCAAGCTCGAGCCACTGCGGGCCTTGGAGTATCAGGGTCGAGGAGGCCTAGGGCTCTCAGGCGCCCACGTGCAAATAGCGACTGCGACTCTTCTTCGGAGGCTGGGCCGCGCGCAAAGGATCGTAGCAACAGGAGCAGTCCAAGGTGCAAGGAGTCTAAAGCAGATGTGGGTGACCTCTGCAACAGGGGCTCTCTAACCTTCACATCCTTGGATTGAATGCACTCTAGGAATAATTGTACCAAGGTTTCGCCGAGCGGCTCAATGCGCTGTAGGCTAGAAGACGATGCAGCAAGGCCTGACCTTGCAAGATGCCTCGACACTGGCGGAAACCCTCCGTGGGCGAAGTCTGAAGCAGACAGGACGACGCCCTTCCGACAAGTACTCCACAGAGATAGGGAGGCTTCGGGACAGGAGCAGCTGTGCGACAACAATGCCGACCCGGGGTAGCTGGAGCCAAGAACCAGCATGAAGGTGTCTGGTCGGATCGAGCTTGCCAAGAAAATGGAGCTGTCTAACCAAACCAACGCACGGAGCAACATCAAGCTCCCAAGTTTCAACGGGCATGATGCTAGAGGTAGGGCTCCTGGCCGACCGAGACCTTGCAAAGAGACCGGCGAGCCCACATGAGCCCAGCCTGAAACCAGCGTTGCCAAATCCAGGCATGCACTGCCGAAGACCAGGAGACCACTTCCGGACCATGCAAATCCTCGGAGGGGTAAGACCAAGCCCAGGACACCAATGCTGCAAGCGGAGACGGCAAAGCCCGTCCAAGAAAGGCTTCGTGGAGGTGGGGAGCTTCCCGAAGATAAAGAATCCACTGCTGACAACGCGGAATCCAGGCGTGCCAAGGAACGGGTCGACAGAAAGCTGCCGAAAGAGCTCGGGTCCAGCACAAGCATCGCGGACCCTGGTCGAGCGAAGGCCTGCAGCACCAGAGTAAGGTCAAGGCGACAGCTTTCTGGAACCAGAGAGCTCGCATCAGGCTGTCCGAGTGCTCTCGGAACCAGCAGGAAACCCGTGCTGGCAAAGTCCAGACATGACACTGGCAGGCCTGTTTGACATCTGCTGGATGTTGGAACTGGCGTGCCAAGGCATGACAAAGATTTCAAGGGCGACACAGGATCTGAGCGGACGAAGTCAGAAGCCGACGACAGGAGATCGAGGCGACTGCTGCCAGAAATTAGAAGGCCAACTCCTAACCACATCGTGTTCCGTGCAGACGATAGACTGCCAAGCTTCAGCATGTCGAAGACAGAGGAGGGCACACCAAATCATGCCAAGCCGACCAATGGTGCTGCCAAGCCAAGGCAGGACAAGCTTTGAAACACTGGAGAGAGGTCTGACCCCGACATGTCACATGCTAACGGCAGAAGGGCTGTGCTAGCAACTCTGAGCAAAGGAAGCACAAAGTCTGCTTTGAACATGTTTCTTGGCAGCAAGAGAGCACCTGAGATCCCGACATCGGGAACAGCAGACAAGGAACCTGGTCGAGCCCTTGCAAACGGAAGGAGTGGCGGGTCTGTGCAGGCAGGGGCCCTTGGTAGAATCGGCGAATCAAGGCACGAGAGGTCAGGCACAGGCATAGCTACAGATACTCGGGAAGAACTCCGGAGCGGCAACACGATGTCCGGCGCAGTAGAATCGATCGCAGGTGTCGGAAGCCCCGAACATGCCGAGCACAAAACAATGGGAGATGCATCCAATTTGCCAGGGCTCCTTGGAGGTGGCGTAGAGGCGGCACTGGGGTCGATTGCAGACAGGGGAGCATCCGGTCTAGCAGGCCCAAAGACTGCAAGAGGAGAGCCCGGACATGCAGAACTGTGCAATGCGAAAGACAAACCTGGGAACAGGGAATCCGACGCGAACACCATCAATCCAAATCGGGCCGCGGAACAGACAGTTGAAGACAATCCCAGCCTTGCCAAGCGCTGCATGAGTAGGAAAGATCCGGTGCTCGCGACTTCCAGTATCACGGTCGGTGTTCCGAAGCACGGCATGCCAAGTGCCAGCGATGACATCCCGAGCCAGGCGCAGTTCCGCACAAGTGGGCTGGCTCCGAAGCACCCAGTATCAGGGACTGAAGGCGAAGTCTCTGCTGCTGCACATCCGAATAGAGAAGGCACCAAGCCCAGGTGACCAAAGCTCCTTGGAAGCAGAGACAACTCGAGTTCAGCGACATCAAGGGCGGGTGAAGAAGTGCCACAACGAGTCACTGAGGAAACGAACGAAAGAAAGCCCAGATAGCAGAGTTGCCGCAATGACAAAAAGCTGCCGCATGCCAAGAGATCCAGTGTCATCAGAGATACATCAGAACAGCCCATGCCGAAAGTGAGCGAGAGGGCTCCCGGACGACTGAAAGACTGTATCAATGGCAGCATACCCAACGTGACGAGGTCTGGGGCAGGAAGGGGTGAACCTGAGCAGGCGGCTCCGAAGGCAGATGAAGATAAATCCGAAGAGGCACAGGAATGCAAAAGCAAGGACGCTTCTGGGTGCAAAGTTTGCGAAGCAGCTGGAGCCGACTCGGGACATGCGAGTCTTCGCATCGGAAGGGGAACACCAAGGCACGCAAGGTCGGCCACGAACATCGCAAAGACGCTCCCCGAGCAGGCCGTGCCAAGTACAAGAAGCATCGGGCCAAGTCGGGCCGAGCTGTGCATCGGCAGTGCGAGGCCGAGAGTGGCAAAGCCCGGCGCCAGCAGGGAGAGGCTGAAGCAACCAGAGCCCTGCGATGGAGGAAGGGAGCCAGGCCATGTGCCATCCACGACCGACAAAGAGAAAACGGGTCCCACGCAGCTCAAGCCAAGTGCAGGTGTGGAGATGCCGACGCAGCCGGCGCTCTGAGGGGATGCAAGCATGCCAAGCTTCACAGAGTCCAGAGCAGAAGCTGCAAAATCCGATCAGGCCAATCTTCTGATGAGAAGCAAACTGTCTGATCGAACTCCATCCAATGCAAAGAGCAAGGGCCCAAGCCGGGCTTTCTGGAGGATTGCCATGGAAGTACCAAGCCAAGCCTCGGTCAATGCTGAAGCCCAACAATGTACATATCATGTGATATGATGTGACATGTCAAGCTGGATTCATAATCATCTGGGTCTATGGGATCTGATGGGCGGTACTGGGTGCATCTGATGTGCATGGAACATGCTGTGTTTCGTAGCCATGCGAGGTTTCTTATGAATGGTTCACAACATCTCCCATAGTTCGCGATGCAATATGCTAGCAGCTAGCACATTCACGAATTGAGCAGCTTAATAGAAAAAGTTTCTGCCAGCTTCCGCCGCGGTCGCGGTAACTTCGCGTTGCAAACCCTCGCTTGACGCTTGACCCTCCCTAGACAAACACGAACAATTGCCTAGCCGACAGTGAGAATCACGAACAACTGAGCACCAGACAGGACGTCTCGGGAGCAGCAGCATCTCCGTGGGCGCTGTGTCCGAAATCGGGAGAGCCAGACCTAGCCAAGCCCGACCAAAGGCGGAGGACAACGATTCCAGCTGAGTGGCACACTTTAGAAACAAGGATGCTGCAGGGTGTGAAAAATCCAGTTGCGGCGACACAGTGCCAGGCTATGCAGAACTTTGAGGCAGCGGTGGACTTGCCATGTGAACAATGTCGATCACCGGCGGTGAGAAAGCAGGCCCGAGGCGACTCGAGCCCATGGCAGAAGGAAACGCTCCCAGATGGCAAAGCATCCGCAGGAACATCGAAATGCCGACTTGCGCCAGGTCCGAGGCGGCCATGGCTGTGCCAAGCTTTGCAGGCGATCGAAGCGGCACTGACGAATCGAGCACAGAACTTTCTGAAGCGGACAAAGGGGACACAAGACCTGCACAGGCCAAGCCTGATGCCGAAGCAGTTGGGCCAAGACACCCGAGACTCCTTATGGCCGGGGAACTGCCCGAATTTGTCACATCCGCAACAATCAGAAGAAAATCCAAACAGACCAGACTTTGCACCAGGGGCAAAGAACCAAAGCAAGCATAATCGTGAGTAGACAAAGCAGCTTCTGGCCTGCCTGCACACCGGGCGAAGACGGTAAAGCCCAAAAGTCCCACATCCAGAATAGACAGACTTACACCCAGGCGCACAGAGCCGGCCACCACCACCGAAAGTCCAAAGCGACCCACATTCCGCAGCAAGAGCGGGCTACCTAGGTGCATAAATCCAGACACCAGGAGTGGCAGACCCAGGCAAGCGAGCTGCTGTAGGGCCGACAACGGCTCAATATGGACGGGATCCAAGACCGATGGCGCAGGCGCGATCCTTCCACGAGCAAAAGCGGAAGCAGACGTGCCAGTCTTGCCGAGCTGCTGCAGCAATGTCGCCACGCCAAGGTGAGAAAATCCGAGGGCCAGCACATGCAAGTCCAGGTGTGCCAAGCCACGTGACAACAGCAGGAATCCCAGAAGCAAGAAGTCCAATGCAAAGGGGCCAGATCCGAGGCGGACTTTCCCACAAGCCAGCAGCAGCGCAGCCGCGCGTGCGAAGGACCGCAAAGCTGAAGAGGGCTCGGGCCTGGCGAAGGCTGGGGCCAAGAGTGCTGAACCCATCCGAGCGGAGCTCCGAAGCAGCGAAGGGGAGCCAAAGAGGCTGAGGTCCAAAACAGCCATGGAGAAGCCCAGGGATCCAAGTCCCACGAGGAATGGGAAGGCTCCGACTCTGGTGAAGCCGTGCAGCAACGACGAAAAACCAGCGTGTCCGGAAGGCAGCACTAGCAAGAAGAATTCCATCCGGACGGGTGCCCGAACCAATGAGAAGGATCCCGAATGGCAGCTGTCCGGTGCAGGAATGCTCAAGCCAAAGCGGGACATGAGCATTACAGAAGAGGTGAAGCCCAGATGACCGCGGCTCCGAAGTGAAGAGAATGCCCCGGTGTAAGCGGAATGCGAGGCAAACACTGGGACACCCGTGCGAGCGAAGCCCCTCAACGTGGCGGAAGCTTCTGACTGGGCGTAGTCCAATACGACAAGCGTTGAACCCAATCTCGTCCTTCCGGTCACAGGTAGTAAAACGCCTAATCGGGCAGACCCTCGAGGGGACGACGGCGAAGCAGGCTTCACATGATCCGACACAGTCGGGACAGAGCCCACACAGGCATGGCTTCGTAGGAGCAGAGGAGTATCCAGTTGGGCGAAGTCCGGAGCGAGCAAGGAGGAGCCCAAGCGCTGTCGGCCGAATTGCAGCAGCACGGGACCTGGTCAGGCAAGGCTGCGCAGTGCCAGAGACGACCCAGAATCGCTGTGGTCGGATGTCAGCGCGATGGAACTCGAGCATGCAGAGGACTTCAGTGACAGAAAGGCTCCCGAGCACAGAAAGTCTAATGCCGACATGGCCGACCCACAGTGCGACCTCCCGAAGACCGAAGGCCTGAAGTCCAGGCAGGCAGCAGTTCGAACAGACGGAGACGAGTCGAAGTCTGCAAAGTCCAACACGGAAAGGCTGCGAATGCGAGAGTGACCGAAGAGAGCTATCGCGGGATCGACATGTACAAAGCTCTGAACAGGCAGTAAGCTAGCCACTTGAGTTGCAGCCTCTACTTCTGCGTAGTGGGCGCTGAACTCCAGCCGAAGGATTTCAAGCTGGGTGCCGGCATCTGAAAGTGTGATTTTCCACTTTGGCGCCGTCCTTGCGCTGAAAATCACCTGTGGGAAGTCGACGGTGCTACCCTTTGGAGCCTCGGAGCTACAAAGCAGCAAGTGCAAACTGGGACAGATGGGACTCAGAATCGGGCTGGATTGATTTCCAGCGGGGCAGGGAGCATAGCGATGCCGTCATCTTTAAGGGCCATCCATGCCCAGGACTGCCGGACCTGCGGAAAGCTGCTCAAAGCCCTGCGACTCTTCGACTGCAAAGTGCAGAAGCCTTTCAGCACGCAGGGGATCCATGCTTAGCTGATTCAGAGGTGGCCTGAATGATCACGAGCAGGAGCGCCCAAGCCCTTGAAAAGCTTCTCGGCATCGCTTTCCTTGTCTGCAGTTCTACACTTCCAACGACTTCCAGATGGGGCCGGGCCTGGTGATTGGTGTCCCGGTGCTCCTTCGCATACCGGGAAATGTCAAGGCTTTTGGTCGGCTACTGGTCGGCTTATTGGAAAGCTGTGCACATGATTCCTCTCCTGGGCAAGAGCCCTTCAGCACGGGACCTGTTCCGCAACCCTCCGAGTTCTTCACGATCTCAAGAAGCATCCACTTTCCGGCAACGGGCCTTCATGCCTTTCACAGGGCAGCAGGCCTTTGACCAGTCATGCCCTGCCATGATCTACACTTCGCTTCCAAACTCTAAACTGGCATCGGGGCCAGGGGCGAGCGCGGGGCGAGCGCGGGATGTCAAAAGCTGCTCATGTGAATCGTGAATCGTGCTGCGTGCATGGCTCGGCCGTGAGATGCAGCTCCCATATCCCATATCCCCCTTTTTCTTCCACGTGGAGCGAGGGCCTTGGACCTCTGAAAACGACACTTCGCAGGGGTTTTCTGGTCGCCGGAGCTCCTTAGCCGCGACGTGGTGCTCCATTTTGCGCTCTCTGGACAAGAGGCCAAAGTCTGCATTCCAGTCCAGTGTCGCGCAGAGAGGAGGAGCGTGAGGCTCTATGAATCGCCGAGACTTTTCTGTGCCTGGCAACATGTCGCAGCGCCGCGAGAAACACCAAGACATGAGAGCTGCGACTGAGTACCAGGCTTTGCCCAGTGCAGCCTGCAGAGCTTTCCAACATGGCTCATGCTGGCTAGATCGAGGAATATGTATGGAAGCAAACATCCACAACACTTGCCATATACCTATGTGGGCTTAGTGCTTGCTCTTCATTGGCTTCTTGGCTGCGTGTTCTTTGCTGACACGGCTTATGGTACCCCAACCCCCCAGATAGTACATCACGTCATGTCATACGATACCATAAAATATTGCAAAATATGTTATTACATTATGTTTTTCTGGTAATATGTTGTATTATATTTGTAGTAGACTATATATTATATGATATTGCATTACATTATAAAGCTGCACTGCATTATACTATGTTGTACTATTGAATTGTACTATCTGCCATATTCTTAAATTATACTGTGCTATGCTATACTACTTCATGGTCTGGTCTAGTCTAGTCTAATCTAGCCTAGTCTAGTCTCGTCAGTACAGCCTTAGTATGGTATAGTATGGGATAGGATAGCATAGCATAGCATGGTATAGCATAGTATAGCTTGGTATAGTAGAGTAGAGTTGAGTATAAGACAGTTCATACTATCTTATATGCTATATATATATATATATAGATACACACACCCACACACGTATACATAAATATACTGTACGTTCCCTGTTCCCTCTCTGGCCTTGACCACCAAGAGCCATGCCTTGTCCACGGCAGCTGGAGCTCCCTTGAGCGCCACGCGGAGGTTGTCCTGTATCCGACGGAGTGATGTAGCTTGGGGCTGCCTAAACCCTAAACCCTAAATCGGCACAGAAAGAATCCGGCAGCCTTGTCGTGCGAGAAGGTCGCAGAAGCCTGCGTCGCCCGACCGATCCTCGGCTCCCAGTTTTCACTTTAAGGGCCTGGAGATGATCACAGCTTAAGCTCTTAGCTCACGATGCGTTAGCCAAAATCCTGCTAAAGGTGCTGTAAGCCCTTTTTGGTCGTCGCGCGAACTGCGCGCGGCCGGGCACACACAGGCGTTACACTGAAAAGGATCCTGGGCTTTCGACCCTTTCTGTGCCAGGCAACACATTCCGAGTAGCTGGAGCTTACGTTGCGGGCAAAGAACCACTCGAAATCTACTTTCCGTGCTCATACTTATCACCTTTGCGGCAAGCTTCGTTTCCTGCGTCCAGCCGTGCAGCTGACCCTGCGCATTCTTTGCGACGCAGAGTTCCACGGTATCGTGGCTCCTTCCGCAACAGAACAGTCTGTGACTCCACAGCCCAAAGCATGTCCATTTCATGCGCAGGGGGCCCTCGGCCCCCACCTGTTATGTTTTCAGACTCAGTGACGAGGTTGATGACCCCTGCCGCAAGTAACTTCTAACTCTACATAACCGTACCCCGAGGCTGTACATCCAGACCCTGGCGGCTCACAGCTTCCTACTTGACCCATGTCTGCTCTTGCTCTCGTCCTGTGTCCAAAGACACGGATCTTGGCCAAGACAGTCTCGACCGCCTTCTCGCTCCCGGACACAGTGACCCGAGCAAAGGGCGCCGTCTTGTCCTTCGCAGGCTGAGGGCTTGGAGATGGAGCTTCCTTGGGCCTGGGTGCAAGCTGTCCTGGATATCGAACTTGGTGTGGGATGCGGCACAAAGACCTGCCATGGTCGAGTGAGCGAAATGCCAGGGCTGTGAAGCCTCTTGAAGCTTCGCCTGGGAGCTGCTTGCAGAGGTGCTTTGGGACGGGGATGGTTCGGACGGTCCGGGAAGCGTCGCTCCTCCAGCTCAGGGCTTGCGTCGAAGGCCCCAGAAACCGCGCATCCCAGGGCTCGGGCTGCGACCCATTCCGGCCTCAGGGATCCACGGGCAATCCAGGGAGATGTAGTTGGAATGCGTAGCGAAAAAAGAAATCCAGCAAACTCCAACAACAAAAGAGCATGTACTAGTATCTGATACGAGCATCGCAGAGCAGTCAAGAGTGCGATGCTTCCGCTGCTCTTTATGCTGCGTGCTAGGCTATCAACACGCTCACAATGCTTCACCCCGCCTTCCACCGGCTCCATGACGGAATCCGTCTTGCCGTCCTCCGCAGATCTCGCCAACGTCTGCTGTTAATGCGGTCGCAGCTTCTTCAGCGCAACAAGCAACGTGCGCAGCGCCATGCAATGCCCTGGTGCTCCTTGAGATTCGAGTCCGGCCCGCTTGCTTTATCTGCTTTCGCAGGTTGCTCTGTCTGCGCCTCCTCGGCCACGGCCACGGCGAAATTCTCCTCGGATCCGCTGAAGTCGGCCTCCGCGAAGCACACGGGCTAAAAAGACCCGCCAAGTTGCATCGTAAGTTCGACTGACGATTCGGCTTTGCATAGCATGTCACGGCACAAAACCCACAAATTTTAGGACAGTAGTCTGGGATAAACTGTTTTGCGAAGGGTTTTGTTCCTGGGACTATGTTGGGATGAAGGATAAGCGGTGATGAAGGACGGCTGGTGGTCGATTCTCCCTCCAGTGTCAAGCAGTGGGTACGCCGCAAATGTTCGGTACACCCTGCCAGCGAGCATCAGACGAGACGGACAACAAACAGCACAGACTGCAGATAACATACCAGATGATGCCAACCCGGCTGAGCTAAAAGCAAAAGCCAACACAAACCCAGAAGACTCTCAACAAGACTCCCCCGCGCATTCCTGAGAGGTGGCAGTCCTGCGAGTTGCAGTCGTCCGAGCTGCTCTCCGAAGATCCGGTCTCACCCTCCTCGGGGCTCTGAGCACCTGCAGAGAGCACAAAGCCCGCTTTTTGGGGGACACTGACCGAGAGTTTCGACCTAGCTTTCGCGCCTGACTGGCCGGATGCCTCAGGAGCCTGATCAGGCTCCCCCGGCTTTTCGGGCGCATGCTCCTCTGAATGCGGGCCCTGTGCGTTGCAACGCATGGGTATATGCACGGCAGAACAGGCAGATTGACGCCACGGGCCTGATTCTGGGATGGCGGTTTCGGAGTGCTTGTGTCAGCCTGCGAGGTGAAGGGCAGAGAGGGAGCGCAAGGAATTTTCGTGTTTAGAGGTTTTGGGGGGGGCCTCGCGCTTGGACGCCAGCTCCGAGCGCCCGAGCTCCCTGCCCGGCGGCGCCTCTGCCGCGGTCACACTTTCACACAGAGTGGAGGAGGTGGCCAGGCTTTGGCTCTCTTTTTCCCCCCCCTCAAAAAAAGTGAGGCCTCCTCCTGCTCTTGGGGCGGCCTTGGACCCTCTTCCCGAGCCTGCCGCGACGGACTGGCCATGAACCGAAACAAATCGCATTGCTCCGCCGCACCTTCCGATCACGAGCTGGCCGGTCCTGCCTGGGGCGCTGACCTTTCAAGCAAAGACCACAGATCCACAAAGTGGCACAAAGCGTGTGAGTTTATGGGGGGCCCGACCGAGTTTTGGTCTTCTGTCCGCTGGCCCATCACGTGCCCTGCTGCCAGAACAGTATGGAACTGCAAATCAAGCAACGACAATTTTGACAATTCGCACCTGCGTGACCTGTCGCTACCGGGTTGGACGTAGTCACCCCGCGCTGTCTCTGCACGAGCTTCTCTCTCATCCTCCCGAAATCCTGAGACATCAGGCTCTGGGCTACACCGATGCAAGGCCTGCGAAGTGCGGCCGAAGTTCCACTCGTAGCGGCCTCCCCTCGGTCGCGCGCGAGCCGAACATCGGGCTTCCTCAGTGCGAAGACCAGCCCGGCAGTGCACCAACGCTCAGAAAGCTGCCGAGGGGCCTTTCCTTGACCATCACCTTCCGCACACGGCGGCTCCTGGAATGATTAGCCACGTCGTTGTAACTGCTGTGATACTCTGCTTCGCGGTAGTCCACATGGCGCTCTTCACCATGTCGATGCACGTCGTAGTCTTGGCGTCTCCGCCCACCGCGGTCACCACTGGCCGTGTCACCCCGTTCACGGAAGCCATGTCGGTCCTGTCGATCCTTTCGGTCCCGGTCAGGGTCTCGGTCAGGCCGGCGATCAAGCCGATCCCGTTCGAGCCGCTGGTCCCGTTCACTGGGTCGCAAGTCTCTTTCGGGGTATCGCTCCCTGTTGAACCTGTCTCGTTCATGATGCTCCCAGTCATGCTGCTCCGCGTAGCGGTCTGGGTGCTGATGAACGTAGCGATCATCCGAATACTGGTCGTGGCGATCCCGATCGTTTACATGGCCGCCTTTGCCGCGGCGGTATCGCGAATCATGACGGAACTCATCGTCATAGCTCCTTGGGGTAAGATTGGGACGGCCGCGAGCACTCTCGCGCCTGGGCTCCTGACGGTCCTGACGCCGGAGAGCTGGGAGCTCCTCTCTGACATCTCGAACATCCCTGTCTCGACGGTCTCGGTCCCGGCGATCCCGAAAGCCCTGATTCTGGTTCCCATGATGGTTGCCAGCGGGCGGGTTGCCATGATCTCGACCTACAGCATCTCTCCGATCTCGGTAGGAGCGGCTCCTTTCATTTCGGACATATCGATCACCTCGATCTCCTCGATCTAAACGACCAGCCATCACAAGTGGCTGTTACCAGCTGAGAGATCCATGGCGCCCCGCCGTGCCTCTAGAGGAACACAGGGCCCATACGTAGGTCTGAGTCAGGCTGTCAGGCACTTCGTTCGCCATGTCTACTGTGGTTTTTGCTCCTTACATTCCTGCTGCATGGACATCGGACATTCATGCTTTGCATTGCGAGGATGGGAAGTCTTATTATTGGGCCATGGTGTCGGAAGACATCTGAGCCCGAGTCACAGCGCTGCAGGGGACAAGGTGCCTCCTAGCCTGGACAGTCTCAGTGTCAAGCCGGACCACGATGTGCAAATCCAACCAGATCGATTTTTCTGTCTGCATGCTGCCTCTACTACACGTATCTGGAATCCCAGCCGGCAGTTGAACCAGCATGGCTGGGACAAATCCTAAATTTAAAACCTAACTACCTGAGCTGCCAGCCAGCCATCCACCAGGTTTGCAGGTCTGCGCAGGCTAGGTTGATGCGCTGGGCAACGAGGCAATTGTCATAACCAACAGCCAGCAGCCTTGCGCGGATAAGCTGCGCCGTCTTCGCAAAGACGACAAGTTTCAACCCATCTGGATCACCTCCGTGCGGCAACTGCTCTGGGAGGAGCTGGGCAATGTCTCGTCCGGTGTGTTGACCAGATCATGTGCTGCTGCCAGTCCGTCGCACGGTGCTTGCAGAGCTTTGCCCCTTGGCCACCAAGTCCGTTTCAAGTGACTTCCTTAGGGTCCACCAGAGATCTCAAAGTCAGAAGAGTCTGTTCTTACACGCTGCATGCACTTCATAAAGGAAACGCCAAGCTGCACCTTGCCTCTGACAGCATCTGACTTGAGCACGGTGGTCGTCAGATTACATTGATCGCGAGGGACTGAGACAACCAAGCATTCAGCCTTGCAAACTTGCAAGCACCTCAGACAATCAGAAAGCATGGCAAACGACAGTGTACGACCTTCTGACCCCGCAACTGCACTCTGCAGCTTCAAGGGCAGGAACCAGGACCTTCTGTCTCACCACGCGAGTTTAACACTTTGTTGGAAAGAAAGGCGTTTACCCAAGGCTAAGCCTCGCCATTTCATGCAGCTTTCCTCCCATGCCACGCTCTTTCCCTTTCCTCGTCGACTGCCTGCGCCTCCGCCGCCTCTGCCCAAAGCCCCGCATCTTTGTCGCCACAGCGACACAACTACTCAACTACTCTTCAGAATCATGAGCAACTGAACTCCCAAAGACACCATGGCTTTCTAACAAACCGTTGGAGGAAGCGGAAAAAGAACTCGTCAGACTTGCCCCTCTTGCAGGCTCTGTTGGGCTGGCAAGACTCCTCTTGGAGCCTGTGTTGGGCTGGCAAGACCCCCGAATGCATGAAGGACTTTGCATCCCAACACCGGCACGCTCAGGCATGCGCACATCTGAAATGCCACACCGGGAGCACCATAATCAGTTTCTCACCTTGCGCTCAACGCGAGTGCACGAATCAGCAATGAACAATCTGAGCTACTGGTAAGGTCTGAGGATCGGACTGCTTGGTTGCGAGACAGTTCGCGGTGCTTCGCTGCACAACCTTCCGCTGAACTTGATCGCCGGGGAAGGCCGGACTTCATAATCTAGCCGCTTTATCCACCTCCAAACCCTTGCACCAAAGCACTCGAAGGCATGTTCTGCCTCGACTGCCTGAACCATGCCCTAGCCTCGTGCTCGGCGTATGCCCGACGAGTGCACACAGGTCTTTTGTGTGCATGCAGTCAAGGTCATCTGAGACCTGGCCACAATCATACGACAGGGACGGGAAGGACCAGCAGGTGTACCGGCTACCGAGCCTGGAGGTCAGCGCAAGTCCTGTCAGCTGCGGCTGCGCAGATAGCAGACGCAGCGCGCGCTTCGCGGCTCGAATCGTAGCAGCCTTGCATCAGCCCCCTTGTGAGGGATCCAGGCAGGAATTGCCGCTCAAGGTCGTTGGGCCAGAGGCCTCAACTGCGACTGGCTGGTGAGGCCCATGGCAGGGGGCGAAAGGTTAGGGCCGGCGGAAGGCTGAAGGCCGCGAAGACGGCGCAAAGCAGAGGTCGATGTGGACTGGAGCCTTTCTTTGGCTGCTCTTTGTCACTGCAGACAAAACCCTGCGGAGGCCCTGGCCGGCCTTCGGCGTGCCGGCGCTGCCGGGCCCTCGTCGCCTCACAGCAAGCAGTGCGATGCCGTGGCCCCAAAACATGGCCGGCGAGACGAGGCTGAAGCTCAGCTGATGCCTCCGGAGGGCGGATGCATGTTGCAAGCACACCATGTGATACGGTAGGACCGGTAGGATGGGCCTGTGGAACATCTCTGATAGCTCTGCTCGCAGCCCTTCGTCTTTCAAACCTGAAGTGCGAACATACGCGACTGGGCATGACTGGGCCCTTTAAGCTCACTGAAGGGGAGCCACTTCACGCGGAGGGCCTGGCAAAGGGCTCAGCATGTCCCACAGCAGCAGCCGAGCTCCACTGCAAGCCTCTGTGGTCTGTGCACAAAGCACTCTTCTAACAACAGCTTGGCCTCGTCTCCAACCCATCTCAGGCTTGGGCCTTTGTGGGCCGACGCCGCAGCAAGCGATGCAGCGTCGGCGCCTGTATCGATGCCAACCATGCTCAAAGAAACTGCGGGCTTTTGAGCAAGGAGCACACTGCCTGCAAGTAGTTCTCGCATGCCCGAACTGCTCCCAGCAGGGCCACAGCAAGGCCACCAATGTGGGCAGCAGCATGCTTCGACCACCATCCTGCATGCAGCTCGCACGTCGCAGTTCACTCAATGCTAGTCGACGGAGGTGTCAGCTGACACCACTTACAGCTGAATGACCTTGTTGCTGGCTGGCTCGGTCAAGCAAGCGCAGGGCCTCACCGGATCGAGGCTCCGGTAACTCCAAAGCGCGAAGTTCGCCCCGAGCCCCGAGGGGCTCCGACCCACACCCAGGCTCCCGCAGCAGCACAGCCCTTGCGCAAACAAGGCGGCTCCTGAAATGCTGTGCTTTTTTTCGACAGCTCGGGGCCCCCGCAAAGCCCACAGCACTGAGACCTGCTGCACCTTCTGCATGGGTGCGGCCACGACCCTCACCCTGTTGACTCGTCCACATGCACCTTCTGGATCCGAAGCTGAGAAGAGCCTGCGCTCGTTGGCAGGCTCTCGCATGGGAGTGATGGAGAGAACGGTGCCCGGCAAAACCGTGAGACTCCAAGAACCCAGGAGACCTGCTGCAGTTTCGGCCCCGTCCTGTACGTTCGTAGAACTTCTAGCGCCACTTCCCAGCGCAGCGCACATGCACTTGCAGCGGTGTTGACGGCAACCTTGCAAGGTCTACGCAGAATAGTCGCTGCTTGCATGCACCTAGCTCTAGCTGGGCATGGATCATGTGGAGCTCAGTCTTCCACCTGGTCCAACACCATCGACTTGCTCCACCACGTTCGCAACAGATCGAGGGCCTGGAGGCACAGGAGTCAAGTGCGGCGCACTGATCTCTCCTCTGCGCTCCAGCAGCTTTTTGGCCGCCTCTGCCCATCGGCGGGACTGCTCACACGCACTCATCGTCGCGTTGTACACGTTCCGCTGCGTGACCGGGTCGTCGCTCAGCCGCTGCCACTGCTCCTGAGCTCCCCGCTCAACAGGCTGCGAACACGGGAAAAAGGGCGCAAGCGCTCAGGCCCACACGCAAAGCTCAGAGAGCCTCAGCTTGCTGCCATCCCTCTCATCACGGTGCTGGGACTTGCCAGGGGTCGCACGCGCGCTGCCAAAGGCCGCCCTGGCCACAAGCAGTGACGAGCGCCAGGCTGCTGACAGCCTGGACTCGGTCAGGCCATCTTTGGGGCCTTTGGGCAGTAGGAGCACCCGAAAGCATGGCAAATCTGCTCACAGCACCAGGCAAGAGGGTTTCGAAGGGAAACAAGCGAAATTCAAAACTCCAAGACAGAGAATGAAACAGACAGGGGGAGGGTACAGCACGGCAAGGGTGGGTGGATGACACGCCGAAGAGGAACGAAAAACTGCGCAAGAGAGAGAGAGAGAGAGAGAAAACANNAGTTGTTGCTACTGTGCACCTCGGAATTCATGCTGGTCTCCAACTCGACGCTGCTTCTTATCGTGTTATGACAGTTGTGACCGTTACACTTATCCAACTTCTGCGAGAGTCTACTGTCTACTCGCGCGTGTACATACCTAGCGGCCCCACGCTCAGATAGACTTTGTTTTCGGGGACACTGTAGAGATGAATGCCAGTAGCTAACTTGCACGCCTGGTCACTAGTCGCGAGAGAGAGAGAGAGAGGAACAAAACACCTGCAGAGAGTTAAGAAAGAAAAAACATAAGGAAAGGGCCAAAGAGAGGAAAACACACGGTAAGAGTTGTATGCATAACGATGGCAGTGCAAGAAGGCCATCAACTCTGGAGTGAATGGGCGGCGGGAATTGCAATGACTTTGCGACTGTGGAACAAGTCTTCGCTGGCGAGAAGTGTTGAAAAGAGCGGTTGGCTTCACCAGTGCATGATAGTGCATGGCTCCAAGACTCTGGCGTTCAGCCGAATGGAGCCCAACTTCTGGGCTAAGCCTGGGCAAAGGTCAACCGCATGGCGACACTGCCTCGCTCTTGCTTCAACTCTACATGCGATGTCGAATCCAAGGCATCGGCAAAGTAGCTCCACCGCCGCCGGCCATCGTGTTGCCCTGGTGTTCGAAAGGCAGCATATGAGCGCACGCAGGGAAGACGATAAGGATAGAGACGCCCAGCCGCGGCAGCTGCCTGGTCAAAGCCAGCGCGGTGCTGTTCAGGCTGATTGCATCCGGAGGTCGTCCAAGATCCTGGATGAAAGAAAAGAAACCACCACCGAATCAGCCAAGGCAAAGGCCCCGGCCGAGGAAAGCGATACGAGAAGATGCAGGGCCTGGAATCGAAGCTAGGTCCTACCGGTGTGTGTCGGCATCTCTTCTCAGGTGCCGGCCCATGTCCAACTGGTAGCCTGGGCGTTGGATCTTTCCCCGAAACCTGAAACCTCAAACAGCGTCATCAGCTGACTGCGGCCGAAGCAGCCTTCTCGCATGCACTGATGCACGTGTTGTAGCTGACGACCTGCGTCCATGCTTAGGAGTTCCATCGTCAAGGTCACCCTTGCAGCGCTCAGGAGTCGACATCCGGGGGCGGCCAGTCCTTTGTCGGAAGGGGGGGGCTTGCTCTAAAGTCCACTATCGGAGCGTTCGCGTGAGTCCTTGTCGACGTTCATAGCTGCCAGGAGATCGAGGGCCTCGCAGCACAGTTCACCAGATCATAGTCCACCATCAACCGGGTCGCCTTGAGCCACTGCGAAGCTCTTTCACAGCCCGAAAGGGCTGCGTTGCAACCTGAGCCGCTGCAGAAAAAGCCTTTGGAATCTCTTGTGTTAGTGCGGGGGCCCGAACCCGGCAGAAGGCAACCAACGACCGCGGTGAGGCCTGTCAGAAGATGGTGGCGAAAGACACAAAGCTCTCAAGGGCATCCTTCGCCAGGCGGAAGTGGGCACTCATCATCGTCCAGCCTTTGACAGGAGAAGCCTCTTCTTCCACGTGCGGGCACACGCACTGGGAAGCAGGCAGAAGCACCGGCGCCCCTTTAAGCTTCAGTGGCCGCGAGAGTCCTTCCATCAGAACCATAGGGAACATCACAGCTACGGTGTTTCGCCTCGTGCTGCGGAGCTCAAGGCGACCCGACGGCGGAGCTCCTGCAGATCTCGAAGCACACGATCCGCAGGCTTTTGTCGCTGCGAAGCCTCCAAAAGGAAAATGCTGGCTTGCCAGAGCAAGGCTCCTCAGGAGTCACGTGGGTCCAATCATGTCAGTCTTGTGGCATTCAGCTACCATCTGCTTCCGTAAAGGCCCTCTTGCAGAGATGTTGCCCATGCCGTTGATTATTTGCTGTGTCTTCTCAGCCTCGCAGTGTCGGGAACCTCGCTAGCCCTCACTGCTGCGCAGCCAAACTTGACCGCGCAAAGCTGCTGACTGTCTATCGATGTAATGTCCGGTCAGTGAGGGATGCGTGTCTGATGCAGCCGCAGCCCAGATCTAGCAGCCCACGGGCCAAATCCAAAGTCTGCTCTTCTCATGTCTTCACTCTTCACCCCCTGGCCCATGGACACTCAATCCTTTGAGGATCAGACGTCCGCACGCAGCCAGTGCCGTATTGTAGCTCACAGTCGACCTGCACTCAGCTCAGGCTGCGATCCCAAGAGGTCCAGAAGACCCCATGTGCTCAGCGGCGCACAGTGGACCGATGTCATAGCGAGTACGCGCCTGGGCACAAAGCCACCAAGAAGCGGGCTGTCTCTAGGCTTCTGTGACTTCTGTGACTTCTGAGGCGCCTCGTTGAGCAGGCCGAGGACCAGAAGCCAGTTGGTTGCAGCGCCGCAGGAAGCCAGCACTGAGTTCACGCCTGGGCCGACATTAGCCTTAAGGGAATGCCCTTTGTAGCAGTTGAGCAGTCAAGGCAGCTGCTCACCAGGTCCGGTTGAACTCGGCCACCAGCGCAGTCTTCGCATGCACTCAGCGACGCAAGCTTGTTCTCAGCAGGGGTCCAGCGTGGTCATCCATACCTTCCAGAAGTTGCAGCGAAGCCTTACACAAGACTGCACCGAATTATGACCAGAAGGCAAAAGCAGCGGCAACAACTGCGTGCCGTACCTGCCATTGCTGCGAACGTTGTAAGCAAATGAGAGCAGCCTTAGGCAGGGGGAGCCCTGCAGCAACATGCTCCCGACGGACTGCACCTGAATGTCTCCCGACTTGTGATACCAAGGTGAGTGGCATTGAAGACCCCGGTGGTCAAGGGAATTCGATGCGATCCCATGGCCTGCTCGTGCCGACAATTACACCACGCTGCTCCCCAAAACCAACCAACCTCCATCAGCACGAAGGCCAAATTCCAGCGACCTGGCAACCCGGTGACTTTCCGCCGGCTTTTACCCCGGCAGAGCTTTGCCTGACGTCCCAGGCAGCGCCTCGGATTCTCGGGTCGAAGCGATTCCACAAAGAGGGAGGAAGCAACGGGCTGAGGGTCGGACGAGTATGCAGGTGGCAAATGTGATGTGATCAGGACTCGGTGTCGATCCTTAGCACTGTTGCAGATATGAGAACGATGATAGGCAAAGATGTCAGGCACATGCACGGTCACCAACCCCAACCCTGGATCCGCCTCCGCCACGAAGCATTTTCCGCAAAGCCTCCAGGGCCACCTGGCACAGGCTGCGTCGGGTGACGAGGGAGCAGGGTATACCACTCTGTGCCTGCCATGCTGATCCGAGGCGACAGGCAGTGAGCGCCGCATTGACACAGGCTGTGCGTGTCAGCTGCCTGGCCTCACCGCTCGGGCCGAGTGCTGGCCCGGGGAGCTGCAAGAGAGCGGCCTTCTGGGACGACAGAGCGCGCTCCAAGTCGGAGAGGGCCTCCACCTCGCGCCGGTGCCGACGGCACCCCCCCTTCATGCCTCAAACTGCGACGCCAGCGCCGCGCGCGGCGGCTTGCTCTTTCGCTTTCGCCAAGCGTCCCAGCGCCGCGAGCGCCCGAGCGACACCAGGACCTGAGGCCTCGAACTTTGAGAAGGCGCCGACAGCTCAAGAAGGAAAGCCAGCGGGACAGGAAGACAGACAGACAGACAGATTCGACAGATAGACAGATAGATAGATAGATTGGTTGAGAGATGGAGAGATAGATAGGTAGATAGGGAGAGATTGAGAGATTGAGATAGAGAGACCGAGACACAGAGATCGAGAGAGAGACACGCAGAAACACAGGGAGGGAGAGAGAGAGAGAGGCAGATAGAGCGACACAAGTAGAGAGACAGAGAGAGAGAGAGAGAGAGAGAGATGCGGAGTTAATCAGACAAATAAGCAGGTAAGAAGGCAGGCAGGTCGATAGATACACGGGGAAGGAAATGGACACAGGGGTAATGCCCCAAGTCATCTTAGCTTGAGTCGGGCATCCAAAGGCGGGGTCCCGTGCATAAGCCATCTCAGGATCCAAGGCCAAGCGACGATGTGTACAGCATTGCAAAAGTATGCAGCAGGCATGTTGTCGCAGTATGGTACTGGCATCAAAACCAAAACACAACCGCAATGAGGGAGGGGGAGGGAAGGAGAAAGAAAAAAGAAAGACAAACAAATGGAAAGCGAAATCGAGAGAGAGAGAGAGCTCCAGCGAAGAGAGCGAGCGATTCTCTCGGATCTGCTGCTGAGTCGCAGACAAGGCCGCAAGTGTCCTCGAAGCGAACTTGGGTGCCATGTCGCCGAGCCATCTTGCGCATTGCACCCTACCGATAATCAGCCTTGGTTTCGTGTTTTGCGATGACGTGTGTTTCTGGTGTAGCTGGTCTGANNAGAGCACCGCTGACCATTTGCATGGGCGCTCGAGGCTCCGACCGAGGCCCCCGGCCGAGCGTCCCGTCAGAACGGTGAGGGAGGGTAAAGCCTCCCGGTATACGAGGAGGCCCAGCCCCGCCATTGACCTCACCTTAAAGGGGTCTGGGGCCCCAGACTGGCAGATTCCAGGGACCCGGACCCGTCTAAGCAGGCGACAGGCTCCCAAATGCCCTTTGCCACTGCTACTTGCCCTGCCCTGCCCCCTGCGCTGCGCTGCCCTGCCCTGCCCTGCACTGATCTGCCCTGCCCTGCTCTGCCCTGCCCTGCCTTGCCCGCCATGCCTGCCCCTGCCCCTGCCTGCCCTGCCCTGCCCTCTGCCCTGCCCTGCCTGCCCTGCCCAGATGCGTCTTGGCCTTTGCCACCAGCCTCTTCTCAAAAAGTCGTCCTGCTTTGCTCTGCTTTCGAGCAACCCTGACAGGGTGCGAGAGGCGAAGTGTTTGTTGGGAACCCTTGCTTCTCGTCGAGCGGCCGGCACAGGCCGCGAGGACCCACAACCCGACAGTAATCCATCTCAGCTCCGTTTTGCTGTGAAACGCACATTTTCTGCAGAGCTGCGAGGGAAGCAGAGAGCAAG